AGTAAGTAAGGAGTTGTTAGTAAGTAAGGAGTTAGTAAGTAAGGAGTTGTTAGTAAGTAAGGAGTTGTTAGTAAGTAAGGAGTTAGTAAGTAAGGAGTTGTTAGTAAGTAAGGAGTTGTTAGTAAGTAAGGAGTTGTTAGTAAAAAGTTGTTAGTAAGGAGTTGTTAGTAAGTAAGGAGTTAGTAAGTAAGGAGTTGTTAGTAAGTAAGGAGTTGTTAGTAAGTAAGGAGTTGTTAGTAAGGAGTTGTTAGTAAGTAAGGAGTTGTTAGTAAGTAAGGAGTTGTAAGTAAGGAGTTGTTAGTAAGTAAGGAGTTGTTAGTAAGTAAGGAGTTGTTAGTAAGTAAGGAGTTAGTAAGTAAGGAGTTGTTAGTAAGTAAGGAGTTGTTAGTAAGTAAGGAGTTAGTAAGTAAGGAGTTGTTAGTAAGTAAGGAGTTGTTAGTAAGTAAGGAGTTGTTAGTAAGTAAGGAGTTAGTAAGTAAGGAGTTGTTAGTAAGTAAGGAGTTGTTAGTAAGTAAGGAGTTGTCCCTTGCTTGTTATTCGAGGCGTGTGTGGCGATGGCGCAGCTGTCGATCGAGGGTCCAATTCGAACCGCATTGTGTGATCGGCATCGCGTTCAGCTGAAGGTGATTGCCTTCAGGGAAGTCGTGGACTGTATACGCAACTGCGCACAATTACGTGAGTCACTTATAACCGCGTTGCCGTTACTTATTGCCAAAATTAGGGATTTCGATCGGATCATGGCGGGGGGGGGGGCACGTACCACCCCCCACTGGCTCCGACAGTGAACAGGATGCGTGTGTCGAGTGAGCTGGGCAAACCGCGAGACGAGACGAACCCACGACAGCGCTCTTCCACCATCTACTGGTTTCCCTCACCACGTGCACCTAACCTGGCACCGCATTCCCGTCTGTGGCTCAGCGTCATTTCTCGCTAGTTTGGGGGGGGTGGGTGTCATGACGTATCGATGACTGTCGATCCTTAATCTTGAGATATCGTGTGTAAGAATACATTATGTATATATTCGTATAGTACCGGTTCACGTGATGCTGACTCTGGCGTTTCTGTCTTAAAATTGTCCTCTTGTTCATTTCAGGGTTCCTCCGGATTCTCCGCTTTCTTCCCATAGCTAAAAACAAACAAACTGTACAATGTACCCGGTGTTGGCCAAAATCCGAATGCAACAGGACCCCCCCTGAACTCAGTACGGCATTCCGGGGTATTATTACACGGTACGAGCTCTTGCCAATCCGCTGCTAGATGATGGCCGTGTGGGTCGTGGGGTTTAAATGTGACCATACTTCAGCAGGCTGTTCAGTTCGAGTTGGTGAAGGGAAGTTGATGTATGTTACTGCACGTTGAACTGCTATCGCACCGTACGTAGCCAACCGTGCATATACAGCACATGTACGTACAATGTCGCTGCAGTGTCCTCTGCTGACAGTGTCGGAGACCTTGACTCCAGAAAACACTAACACTGCAGGATCCTCAAAGGTGTTTCCAGCGTATCGACAATGGACACGCACAATTATACCAACATGTATGAACAGGTAGTTGTGGCAGTCGGAGTGATAGCTTTGGGGGCAGGGTGTCTCTTGATTGAGGAGGAGAGAGGGACGCGCGGGGGTGGGGAGGGGGGTGGCTTTGTGCGAAAGTGGTTGCAGGTGTGTGTGGGATTCGATCAGTTTGGGAGCACGAGGGATTGGATTCATGAGCACGCCTTGATCATTAATTTGGAAGAAGAAAACCCAAGGGTGTGACAAAAATAAAAGGCGGTGACCCCCCCCCCGGGGGAGGCGGTGACCCCCCCCCCCGAGGGAGGCGGTGACCCCCCCCCCCGAGGGAGGCGGTGACCCCCCCCCCCCGAGGGAGGCGGTGACCCCCTCCCCGAGGGAGGCGGTGACCCCCCCCCCCGAGGGAGGCGGTGACCCCCCCCCCCCGGGGGAGGCGGTGACCCCCCCCCCCGGCTGCTGTGCTGGGAGACGTGAGACTGCTGACCACGGGGTAAACCCCTCCTCGTCCATCGGCCCGGGAGTCAGCCGTGTTTGCGGGTCAGCGCCAACAACCATAGCCTTGGAGTCCAGCCTGGGGGTGATTACCACTTGGTGGGCGCGATCGACTGGTCCATTCACCCGTGGATCGTCTCCGCAACCATCGTTTTTGGAGCCAGGGGTGGGCACCATGGGGAACCACCCCCGCTGCTGCCGTGAAGGGAACGCTTCGTGAGGACTGCGTGGCGTCGACCGCTGGGGCATGTGCCGGGAGGAAGCGAGGTGCTCCTCTGAGGTCGCGCTCGGAACGTTTTGTTTGGTCCGTTCCAGAGCCTGGTGATATTTCGTGCGTGCCTTTTGGGGGTTGCTCGGCAGCTTTCTCCCATCAGCGTTCGTTAGTGGAGGAAATCTGAAGCCGTGGGTCGTCGGGTTGTTGTGTAACTGGTGTTTGTTGTGCCGTTGCGAGGGCCATTTGGGTTGGTATAATGTCTTGATGTGTGCACTCCTCCGGAGAAGTGGCAGGTGCTGTTACCATTTGACAGTTTAAAACTTGTATGATATTTAAATTCTTAAGTAAACGCTTTAAATCTGGAGTATACCGGCAGTGGCCTTTGTTATATTCTGCACGGTCATTTGGAGCGTCGTGTGAAACAGAGCCCCACTATAATCTAAACCACAATGATGCTAACAAGGGTTTTGGATAGAGACCGAAACCCTATAAAGCATGTCCCAAAAGGACGCGCCGTTGTAGTGCACTGGCATTATTAGGTCGCTCGATCTCCTATGGAGACTTGCTTCCAGAATACATTGACGCGACTATAATGGCGCCACTCTAGCTGAATGTAAGGACCGAAATCCACAAAGCCAAATCTGTAAAACTTTTGTTGTTGTACCTAGTAACGAAGTATATTGGTGGCCTGTACATGTGTAATGCCATAGACACAGCATACTTGCCTGCACTAGCGGACATACGCCAGTAGGGGGTGATATGCGGGCCACTCGGTTTATCCAGACCCCAAGAGGGGGGCTGGGGGGGGGGATGTTCTGGGAGCCCCTGGAACTCTGGAAGAGAGACGGGGGCGCCGGGGAAGGTGTAGAAAAGCCGGACTCCTTAACGGGTTTGGCAGTTCTCCTCAAGCTGAAGACAGAAGACGGCCCTTGGAGTAGGACCCTGGGGCCCCGCTGTCCTGCTAAGGGCTGGGCCGTGAGGGCCAGTGGTCAGGACCCGTTACCTTGGCTGGGTCGGATCGAGATGGCCTCCCCTAGGTCCCTTAGCCGGAGGGCTGGAGTGTACGTGGTCCCAGTTGTAGGACACGATATCCTGGAGGCCACACCTCCCCAGGTAGCGTGTGTAAGGGGCCGTTAGGGCTTTGTGTTAGGGACCTGTATATCAGTTGAGTAATAAAGAAGTGTTGCCTCCATGCCTGCTTCCCGTCGTCCTTGGGCTCACTACACATGCCACTGATGATTGGCTCTCCCTCATTCTCAGGTCACACTTGCCAAGGGGGGCAATGCTGTTGTTACACGCGTCTCGATGTGTGTACGACAGTATGCGATCCCTGGGTAAATCATGGCTACAAACAATATCCGTTGGGTTTCTTCCGGCTTTCAGAATTCCTCCCACCATTAAGCCACTCGTTGAATTATATTGGCCAAACAATTCTAATTAATGAGACTCGATGAGTCTTTCCTGGGTAAACAACTGTCATTATTTATCGGTAACTATATGCTGTACAAATTTAATAATCGCTTCTGCCTGCACGGTAAGACGACGATGAGTTACCTATGTACACATGCTGGTACAGATTGAATCAACTGTCACGAATGTTTAAAGTCTCGTGTTTTTTTTTATCGGCTGTCCATGTGCAGTTATTTGTCGCGCCCTTACTGTTGTTCGTACTGGTCTCTAGTTTACCTGCCCATACTCTGCTCCCGTGTGTGGCAAGCATATGCAGTCGAGTTTGAACCACCTAGTTTCTACCGTCTCATAGAAACTCATTCTCGCAGGTTTTATTCCTCTACTGGTTTGTCAATTTACGTAGTATATGTTCACTCACTCATTCTGACCATGTGTCTAAACGGAATATTTGCATAAGTTTGGCACGAATCCTAAAATAACGAATTCTCAAGTGCACTATATTTAAATCGCGAGCATGTCAATTATAGCAAATTAATCCACGGCCCACTTTCACCAACCCGCACCTGATCAGCGTGGTGAAGGTTGCACGGTCAAATAACCCGCACGGTGTGGGCTGGAGGCCCTCATCCAGCAGTGGATTGACAAACAGGTTCTGCTCGTAGTGTACTGCACGTGTTCTTGATGAATCGACTAAGCAGGGAGGTGTGGTGGCATCGACGTCTGCTTCACAGTGGACGTTGAAGACGCCGTGACGTCATGCACAAGAGTAAGCCGCGTGCTGGCGTCATAGTCCAAGTTAGAAAAATTACCGTGCAATTTTCTTAATTTTAAACTTAACTTTTTAAATTTAGTTTTTTTACCAGATAAGGCCGACTAAGCTATATGGCTTTTTTCCAGAAGCGACCTGGTCACGAATGACAGCTCAAAGAAGTGACTTATGTGAAAATGTATAGCAGCCAAATACTCAACGAACGTTGATTTTTAAATGTGGAGGGGGGAAAACCCGGAGGACCCGGAGAAAAATCCACCCGACCACGGGGAGAACGCGCAAACTCCAAATATACAGCAGCAGGCGTCAGGGTCGGGATCGATCCCACGACCTCCTGCGTACCAGGCGAGGTAGTTAACATCTCCTAGTCACATACATAGCAACCATCGTCCCACTACTGCGAAAACTTGACAGGGCCCTACCGAAAATGGGTCATGAGACTCGGTACGGCTTTCCTGGATGGATAAACGTAACGAATAATCACGGCTTTGGCCACGGCATCACGATACATTCACGTCTCACGTCAGAAATCCGGCCGCGTTTTCCTTCGCGCTGTGCTATTCCGGCGAATGACCGCAAGAGGCGGTCTCCTTTCCCGCTCCCAGTCGCGCTTATTCCCGCTCCTCTGCCCCGCCAGAGACCCCAAGCCATGGGGGTCAAACAATCGACTCCCCACCCCCCCCACTCACAAACAAACACACGTGTGTGTCACACCCACACTCGGTTTAAATACTCGCCGCGCAGCACATAAACACACCTTCACGACTTGTCATAGCAACGGAGAACAAAAACAGACGTCCAGATATAAAAAAAGGAGTGCGTAACCAAACTAGCACAAGGTACGCTCGATTAAAGAGAGTGGATTCTGGTGCGCGCTCGGAGCAGCGCACTCCTAAGGTGGGTCGGCTTGATTAAAGCAGTAGAAAACAAAAACCTCACGATGTTTACAGAGAATGTTTGCGTTATGCTCCGAGTGTAGCCATGGACACGGCATTCGAACCGCGGTCGCGTGGCGCTGTCGGCTGTTACCGCAGTGCGTGCAGATGGTTGCCGCTTTAGAAAATGCAACAGCGGCTTACTGGCTTGCCATGCAACCCGCTCGACATTGCTTAATGGTAAGTTGATGTGTTTATTCGCGAATGTTGCGCTTCACCCGTCGCGTGCTTGCAAAGAGGGATGTATTTTCTGACCGAGGCGGACCGACTGATCGCCAATAGCAAGGGCTGGAGACGGGTGAATCGGCGATGTGCTCGCTCTCTCGCATGGGGCTCGTTCTCTCTGATTTCAAATAATCTAATGCTCGACCAGGTGGACGGTGGCTCAAAGCAATCGGGAGGTTAAGAGTTCAAATCCTGGTTTGGAGTTCATTCGGGCTCAATACAATGAGTATTACTTTGTGGGGAAGTCAACAGGAGCTTGTTCTATTGGGTATACTTGCCCCCGCCGTAGGAACGTGGAATTTGCTCCACTGGCTCGGGGCAGGTAACGGGATGAGCACCGCCTCAATGTTCATTAATTTGAGCGAGGAATGAATGACTTCGACTCGTGTGTGTGATTTTTGAGTGAACCACGCGGGCAGAGAGACTACGCTGGCGTGCGGGCGTGTGAACGTGAACCCTCTCGCAATGAACCCAGACGTGTGAACGTGAACCCTCTCGCAATGAACCCAGACGTGTGAACGTGAACCCTCTCGCAATGAACCCAGACGTGTGAACGTGAACCCTCTCGCAATGAACCCAGACGTGTGAACGTGAACCCTCTCGCAATGAACCCAGACGTGTGAACGTGAACCCTCTCGCAATGAACCCAGTCGTGTGAACGTGAACCCTCTCGCAATGAACCCAGACGTGTGAACGTGAACCCTCTCGCAATGCACCCAGACGTGTGAACGTGAACCCTCTCGCAATGAACCCAGACGTGTGAACGTGAACCCTCTCGCAATGAACCCAGACGTGTGAACGTGAACCCTCTCGCAATGAACCCAGACGTGTGAACGTGAACCCTCTCGCAATGAACCCAGACGTGTGAATGTGAACCCTCTCGCAATGAACCCAGACGTGTGAACGTGAACCCTCTCGCAATGAACCCAGACGTGTGAACGTGAACCCTCTCGCAATGAACCCAGACGTGTGAACGTGAACCCTCTCGCAATGAACCCAGACGTGTGAACGTGAACTCTCTCGCAATGAACCCAGACGTGTGAACGTGAACCCTCTCGCAATGAACCCAGACGTGTGAACGTGAACCCTCTCGCAATGAACCCAGACGTGTGAACGTGAACCCTCTCGCAATAAACCCAGACGTGTGAATGTGAACCCTCTCGCAATGAACCCAGACGTGTGAACGTGAACCCTCTCGCAATGAACCCAGACGTGTGAACGTGAACCCTCTCGCAATGAACCCAGACGTGTGAACGTGAACCCTCTCGCAATGAACCCAGACGTGTGAACGTGAACCCTCTCGCAATGAACCCAGACGTGTGAACGTGAACCCTCTCGCAATGAACCCAGACGTGTGAACGTGAACCCTCTCGCAATGAACCCAGACTGTGAACGTGAACCCTCTCGCAATGAACCCAGACGTGTGAACGTGAACCCTCTCGCAATGAACCCAGACGTGTGAACGTGAACCCTCTGAACCCAGACAACACACGCGTCCTTGATGTGACACGCGTTACGTTAACAATCTCGCAGATTTATACAGTAACTCATTGCTATTTCAGTGAACGCATAGATACAATATCAGCTCATTTCAATATAACAACAGTTGCTTTGTACATCGTCACTGAGCGGAAAGGGGACATCTCGACGTTTCGGACAGTTGGCCTTCTGGAAATAATGCGGTTACTCCAAATTGTATATGTACATGACACGGCCACTGTGACATGGCCACATGTGGACGGATGTCCACCACCCTATGAAGACTATTGACTCTGTAAACCTGCAGAAGGCCAGTCGGACAAAACGTCAACATCTTTCTTTTCTCTGAGTATTTAAAACCAATTTTTTTTAATTTTGATTTAAAGCTTTCGTGACTGCAGTAATTCATATTCTTAGCTCTTTCGGTAAAGTCACGTTGAAGGGAAACAATAAAATAATAAAAAAATATATAAAACAATAAAAATTCTCACGACGTTTCGACCATAACGTCGTGATAATTTTTATTGTTTTATATATATTTTATTATGTTATTGTTTCCCTTCAACGTGACTTTACCGAAAGAGCTAAGAATATCAATTTTTTTAATTGTTGTTTAATTAATCTGTTAGCTTTCGTGGCAATATCTTAACATGCATTGGGTGGTGTCTTTTGTCTGGACGCGTGTGCAGTTCTAATAGGAATGCGACAAGCCATGGACGAGTACATTAAGATTGAGAAAATCGGCGAAGGTGAGAGACGTGGTGTGTGTGTGTGTGTGCAGATCACCTCGATGGGTGTGCGAAGTGACCATAGGTGCTAATCGCTAAACAGCACTTGTTCCAACACTCTGTTAAGGCTATACGGGGGATCTTTGTCTTTTGCTGCGTGTGCAAGCAGCCGAGCGACGGGGCTTGGTCCACGCCTGCACATTGACTCGCACGGTATTTTCCACTGGACTCGTACTCCAATGTAAATCCGTTCTCGGATGAGGCCCATCGATCCGCGAAGCTCCCTTTTTTCAGTAGCGACCCCGGACCAGAACGGCTGACACGGCAATGTCCCGATTTTCGCCCCCCCCCCCCCTTTTACGTGGTTTTGCAAATATCCGTCGCCGCTTTGTTGACACCACGACCTCATCTGCGTCGCCTTAACCCACCTCCGATGAGCCCGATTGGCTACGCACGGGGAGAAAAGTTGAACACTGAAGTCGCTGACGGCGGCGTCCGTCGATTCTCAGCCTTCGCCTCCACCGCCTACCCCCTGTGAATCGCCGTGATTTTACGTCGCTTTCAATATTCGTCGTCGCACCTTTTCAGGAACGCATCCCTGACGTAAACCAGGGTATTACTGTAATACATACACTTGATACCCTTGTTTTATATATGCACACACACACTGTTAAAATATGAAAAATGTATTATAGTAAGCATTTACGTAAATAAAGATATGGGTTTACAACTCTTTGTAAAATTTTGATTTAAAGCTTTCGTGACTGCAGTAATTCATATTCTTAGCTCTTTCGGTAAAGTCACGTTGAAGGGAAACAATAAAATAATAAAATATATATAAAACAATAATCATGATGACGACCGTTTGTGTTATGGTCGAAACGTCGTAAGAATTTTTATTGTTTTATATATATTATTATTTTGTTTCCCTTCAACGTGACTTTACCGAAAGAGCTAAGAATAACTCTTTGTCAATCCGCTGTTTTGACAAACCGGAGCGCCCTGGTGAGGCGAGGGGTGGCTCAAGAGCCCAGAGGCAGTCCAGGTAGGTATCACTCGCCACTGATGGTGCCCGTGGCCGCCAAATTGAACTCAGGTGGCAGCTCTGCTAACGTTCTGTTTGCTCAAGGCGTTCACACATTCTACAATGACAAGCGGACGTCACGGTCAATGTCCAATTGGTCACCACATCTCACCATGGCTCTCGTTCTGGTAATTTCCGTAATCATTCCAAGATAAACGCCCAACCTTCGACGTCTGCCCTTATAATGACCAAAGACAAAGATCTCCCGTATAGCCTTAACATACTTTTGGGGCAAGTGCTGTTAGCGAGCTCCAAATGAAGGCCAGTACGGCAACACGAGGGGGTGGGTGGCCAGCATCACGCCCGACCACCTTTATCTGAACCCAGGACCAGTTCAGATAATCGTCACGGGTGTTGATCGTGAGCGGGAATTGAACTCGGTTCGCTGGGTTCCTCGGGCAGCACGCTAACCACTGCGCCACCGCCTGGTTTGAGGTCAAGTGCTGGGTGACCCACCCACACCCAGTACACATGCAACGTTGGGCCAACGTTGCCTTGTACGTAGTTACAACCGTTGAACCCACGTTGGTCCAATGTGTCATGTTTACTGGGTACTCCTCTCTCCCTCTGTCTGTCTCGGCAACCGACCCACCTCCACACCCTGCACACGCGTCCCGCCGATCCCGATTACATCCGCACTTCACCTCGCTTACCCTACCCCTAAAGCATCCGTCCTTTTCTATTTGTTCGGTTAAAACCAGGACTTAATTTCCCCACTGAAAAGTGTCCGGCTCGCTGGTGGCGTAGGCGCGTCGCCAGTAGCCGCAGCGGGAGGTAATACTGGATGAGGAAATATTCCCCGCATCGCCGCCGCGGAGAGACCCCAGCTGAAATGAAACCACGAGCTCTCGACTCTAGAGGGCGTGAGCTCCCTCTAGTGGGGGCCCTCATTCGCACCTGCCGTGGGGCCAGAAAGCAATTTCAGGGCTGCAAATGTTCGACACTTTTGGGGTGGCGGCACGGCCGAAGCCGGTAGGGTGCTCGCCACTTGGTGCAGAGGTCCACGGTTCGAATCCCGCGGCCGCCCTGGTAATAACAATGCGCATCTGCTTCAGTGTTCACAGTGGACGTTATAAGATCCCCTGACAATCTTCGCAAATTTGAAACGTCATCAAGTGGCTTATTTGGCATTATCCACGGCACTCATCTCCGCCCACCCCCCCCACTTCTCTACTGGCAGACCAATGCCCAACGCCCATTTTTCAAACGACTCATCTTGGTTACAGTACTCTTTGCGCTCTCCCCTGGTTTAAAGGAAATCGAAAGTTGGGAGCTAAAACAAAGCAATGGCGGCTGTCCCGCATTCACGCACGCAGGCTCGTACGGAGTGGTGTACAAGGGACGGAACAAGGGCACGGGCGATCTCGTGGCGCTCAAGAAGATCCGCCTGGAGCACGAGGAGGAGGGCGTGCCCGCCACGGCGATCCGGGAGATCGCGCTGCTGCGCGAACTCAGGCACCCCAACATCGTGCGGTGCGTTCGAGCGGTGCCACGGCTGGCGACTCGGCGATAGCGGCACGTATTGTAGGCGGAGGCATGTTAACAGGACAAATATTCATCCGCCGCTCGTGTGGATGATGTACTGCTGCGGATACCTGATGCACGCGTGGAAAATTCAAAGCTCCTCAAAGTATGCGACTGTGGTTATCCAGAACACAATCCACAAATATGAAGGAGACACAACAGCGATGATACACTCCGTTCTTGCTCCTGACCACCTGAATGTCAAATTGTAGTTCTTGCTCTGCATCAACATAAGCCATACGACTGGGAAAACGTTGCCCATATGTTGCATTTGTCCTACCGTGGATTCCCACGATAACGAACAATGCGCCACGTGGAAGACTGCGTCGCAGATATGTGACCTTGCTTGACCCTTTCAACCCAGAGGGGGGGAAAAAAACTCACCTAGTACTGCACAGGGTGGTCCCGATGTCTTCCGGAACACCCTGTCAACAAAACGTAAGGTTTATTTAAAACATAAATGAATATGCAGATTAACAAAAATGTGGTGGGTCAATTAAGTGCGAGTCACACGACATCTGGACCATCCTGTACATGTAACAGCCATTTGTGAGCATAGAAGAATGGATGTTGTGTGCGTGGGGCCCATCCAAGCATTGTGGACGTGTATTGGATGGGCAAGTGGCTACTTGCCCAAACAAATGGGGGATTGGGGAGTGTACCGTGGCTATGTCTGCCCTCTAGCGAAACAAAATTTAAATGTTGGATTCCATAATGCCCATGTTCCAATCCACATGAACGTGAGAGTGAAAGCCACGCATTATTGCCCTGTCCATGCGTACCTGGCTGTACACGAGGCTTGTGACGATTAATGTATTCAAAGTGAACTGGATCATTACACTCATGATGGATGCAATATATTTTAGAAGAATCGTGTAACTGTGCGATTTGTGAAATTATGGACATATTGTACACTGTACATAGCACGTTAATGAAGGGTCATTGCCCGAAACGTCGCCTGTTATGTATTTTTCCATTTACGGCCACAGTATTATGTGTGCAGTTTATATTTTGTATAATTACAGTAGATAACTGCTGCCCAGTCTGCAACATTCCTTGCGAGCATCAAAGTGTGAATTGCATTGTCATTTCATTAGAACACACGCTGCATTTGGATGCGGATGCGTCGGTCATAGGGTTCTGCCTGACCATACTTCACCACACTGTTCAGTGTGGGTTAGTGAAGGAGGGAGGGTTGCCTAGATCCCGCCTCAAGTCTTATTTCCCACATCCCACGAGACATAAGCCCTGTCGGGCCTCTATTAAATGTAACATTCCTTCCGTTATTAAATATCTCTGTATTGTGCCCGCTGACACCATTCTAAGAGGATACGTGTGAGTATATCGTCGTGTCATTTCGTCTAATTTGGCCGGGTGCACTCAGCGGCAGGCGAGCGGCTTGCAAGCGGAAGGTCACCAGTTCACATCCTGGTTGAGTGGTTGACTCGGCCCATCGTCATCATCCACTTTGCAGAGAAGTCAACAGTGGTTGTCCTCTGGATCGATTTGCCCCCGCCATAGGAACGTTGCACTTTCACCTCTGGCCCAGGGCTGTGAACAGGAGGAGATGAGAAAGGGCCTCGATGTTGGTATGAGCAGGAAATAACGAGAGTAGAGGGGTTTTTTTGGGGGGGGTTGGATCGTGTAAATATAATTGTGTCGTTAAACTCGCCACAATCCGACACAGCCAATTAGTAAGGTTTGTCACGTGAACTAAAAAATGCGTCAATTCGTTACTGCTTTGGCACACCGGTGCTTTGGAGAAAACCCACAACATCTACAATTGACAAACCATTTACAGCAAACCACTTCTTTCCATCACGTCCAGGCTACAGGATGTACTCCTGCAGAGCGCTCGACTCTACTTGATCTTCGAGTACCTTCCCATGGATCTGAAGCGATACCTGGATGCGATACCTGCGGGCCACTGCATGGAACCTCCACTCATCCAGGTGCCTGTCAATTGGTCATGCATTGCTCAAATGTATTTTGGCGGTGATCTACTTCATCAAGAAATACTTGTGCTTTTTTGTGTAATACATAAAGGCCGAGTGCTTTTTTTCACATTTTGTTGTTGTTTGAAACGTATAGATTTTCGGCCTACACTATCCTTCTGTTAGGATGGGTTTTTTTTTTGTCATTTACAAATGCTTCGTGGGCGCCATGGTGGCGAGATGTTAACTACCTTGCCGGGTATCCAGGAGGTCGTGGGTTTCAATCCTGACCCTAACCCCCGTATATTTGGAGTTTGCATGTTTGTCCCGTGGTCGCGTGGATGTTTCCTTCCACATTTAGAAACATGCATTTAGAGTATTTGGCTGCTATACATTTCCACACGATTAGCCACTTCGTTGAGCTGTCATTTGTGACCAGGTCACTTCTGAAAAAGAACTAAATATCTCAGTGGGCTTTATCTGGTAAAATAAAAAAATAGTTTGAGTTTTTTTGCTTTGGTGCCAGGTTGGATCGCTACATCGCAGAAACGCGAGAAATGGCTGCGACTTGGGTAGCCAGCGGATTGATGGTGGCTGATGGCGATCATGATGTTGTGCGTACGCTCGCACCTCCGTGGCCCTCTCCGTGTGTTTTTTTTTTGTGAGGGCAGAGTTACCTGCATCAGATCCTGCAGGCCGTGGTGTTCTGCCACTCGCGCAGGGTGCTGCACCGTGACCTCAAACCGCAGAACCTGCTCATCGACAGGCACGGCCACATCAAGCTCGCCGACTTCGGCCTGGCGCGGGCGTTCGGTGTGCCCGTGCGCGTCTATACGCACGAGGTACGGGCGCACACACGGGCGGGGGGAGTCCAGCAGTCTCAAACTGTGGACCACGAAGTCACGACGCCACTGCATGCGTGTTTTACGGGTCTGTGTGAGTCAACGGGGCTCTGTGTACGTTCATGGGTCTCTGCGTGAGTCTGTGAATTTCCACGTGAGTCTGTGCACCTCCATACGAGTCCATGGACAAAGCTATGGACCACAGTAATGCCAATGTCCGTTTCGATCATTCACTGTCATGCGAGTTTCAGATATTCAACATTCCTAAAGCCGTCCACATGATCGCTCACAAACCTTGTAAATATGTAAGTTGAACTTTTTTTTTTTGGAACCGTACGTAGCCAACCGTGCTATTCGGAGGTGCAGTGAGTTAACCGCTTGTACACCACGTGCCAATTTTTTTTGTTTGGCTCTGTCGTGTGGTGAAGGGTTCTTAAGGCCTAACCCAAGAGTCTACTCCTGGACATCTGTGAAAAAGAGCTCTATAGCTCATCGGATTCCTCCAGTATAAATACATCTTCTGATGCACCATAACATTGGTTGCGAAAACCCTGCCAACGTGCTTAACGGACAACACCGCTGGTGCCTGCCCCCTGTTGTCCGCGTGGCACGCGCAGGTGGTGACGCTGTGGTACCGCGCTCCCGAGGTGCTGCTCGGCACGCCGCGGTACAGTACCCCCGTGGACATGTGGAGTGTGGGCACCATCCTGGCCGAGATGGTCAACAAGCGGCCGCTCTTCCACGGAGACTCTGAGATCGACCAGCTCTTTCGCATATTCAGGCACTTGGCTCCCTCCTTTGCCGTTGTTGTTGTTGTTGTATAACCCCCACAATGCACCACGACCGCATGGAATGTATTTTGTACGAAGCTGCGGGGCTTTGTGGTGGGCAGGAGACGGGCAAGGCAGGAAAATCCATTGTTGTACTGAGCCCAAAGTGATTGTTCTGCTCCTATAAGCATTGAGGCGCTGCTCATATCTCGTTTACAGCCTTGAGCCAGTGGCAGAAATTCCATATTCTTATGGTGGTGGCGACTTTATCCATTGGACAACCACGGTTGACTTCTACGCGAAATGATACTCATGTTATTGACCGTTGAAGGATGATGGGCTAAATTAATTCCCAACCAGGATTTGAACTCATGACCTTCTAATTGCGAGCCGCTCGTTCTACCGTCGAGCCATCTGGACGGTTACTGTACCGCACTCTGCTCCTGCTTGTACGATCCCCGCATTGTATGGTTTAAAAAAAAAAAAACTCCCACGATTTTCACGGCATGGAGAGGCCCTCGGACGCATGCTGTGGCAACGTACGCCGTGATGTGCGTGCTAACGGCCACGCTCTGGCGTGCGTGTGTGCGTAGGATCCTCGGCACACCCACCACCGAGGTTTGGCCGGACGTGGTGACCCTGCCCGACTACAAGCCCAGCTTCCCCAAGTGGGTGCCCAGCGGCCTGGTCGCCCACGTCCCCGGCCTCAACCAGGACGGCATCGATTTGCTTGAGGTAACGGCCGATCACGCAGCCTCGGGGTGGCGTAGGAGAAAGTGGCGTAGCCACGGATTCTTGAGGTATCTGTGCAGACGTTTGGGCGTTACCCTCCACGTGCTGGTGAGTTTTCTCCAGCTACTTTGTGGTTTTGCACCCACTGAAAAACCCGATAATTTGTGGAGTTGGCCAAAGAACCTTATCACAGGGCCCTCTTGAAAAAGTGTGAGACTCATTGAGGCTTGTCTGGATTGTATATCTGGCAGGAAGCATACATGGCGTAAAGCATGTTCATAGTTTTTACCTGCATGGTAATAAGGATGGCAATTGAGTCACCTTAAGGTAAGACTTACCTGGGTGAATACATTACATTATTATTGTTATTATTATATTCTTTGGTTCTTTCGGTAAAGTCACGTAGATAGAAATGTAATAATAAAGATAAAGTGAATACAAATAATAAAAAAAGACTAAGCAGAATAAATAAATTATTTACTTATTGTTTTTTGCTTTTATTCACTTTATTTATTATTATTTTTCTATATACGTGACTTTACCGAAAGAACCAAAGAATATGAATCTCTGCAGCTACGAAAGTTTGAAGTCAATATTGTTATTATCCATCATAGAGGTTTTTTTTTGGGTTGGATCATGTAAATATAAATGCGTCGTTCAATCCGCCACCACCCGACACAGCCAATTAGTAAGGTTTGTCACGTGAACAGAACTTGCCAATTCGTTACTAATAAAGTACGGCGGTGTGTTTGAGAGTAAACCCACAACATTTACAATTCGCGTACGACGTTTCACCAGTAATTACAACTAGCGGTCTTACCCAAAAAAACCTCTAATATGGGTAATATTAGTCGTGAAAGCCTACGTGTTAAACTGTTATTATTATTGCTGAGAATTATTTGGTCATGCCACTGCTGCTGTGTTGGCAGTGGTGCACAAGCACAACTAACATTGACACATTATTTAACACCACTGTGCTCTTAAATGGAAAAAAATAAGTACAGGAATACACCCAGGATGCGTTCTTGAAAACCAGAACGTAAATGTAAAGTATTTAAATTTAAGCAAAGATATCAAATGGTGGATCTGTTACGTGGTAAAGAACTTAGTAGCAGCTACTACTACGAGAGATGTGATAGTGAATCTGTAACGTGGTGCAGAACCTAACCAGAGGATGCTCAGTAACCCTTTGCTCATCAAAACTGTTACAATCATGTTGCTACAACCATGTTGTTAGAACCAGTATATATTACCTTGAATATTATGTTATGCGTATTATTGGTTGTGTATGATATAAAAAAAAATGTTGACACTTGTATAAAAATGGTCGCCATAAAAACGGTATGTGAGGGACTAAATATGAAGAGAGTACACACGAAAGAGTAACGACTGGAGTCAGGGACGATTTTGCTTGGTTGCTATTTGGCGCGTGAATGTTGCGGCGGCAGCGTAAACATTAGAGTCTGAGTGGTAAAGTTCGTAAATCTCGAGTACGTTATGGCGAGGTATGACGGAACGTAAAACAGGATTGGGTATCGATAAGTTGAGTACGTTATAGCGAGAGGGCGTAAATCTGGGTATGGCTGTAATCAACATCATGTCACGCAATGACCCTTCATTAACGTGCTATGAAGAAGGGCCATTGCCCGAAACGTCGCCTGTTATGTATTTTTCCATTTACGGCCACAGTGTTATGTGTGCAATTTATATTTTGTATAATTACAGTAGATAGCTGCTGCCCAGTCTGCAACATTCCTTGCGAGCATCAAAGTGTGAATTGCATTGTCATTTCATTTAGAACACACGCTGCATTTGGATGCGGATGTGTGCTTGAGCTTTGCTTTACATATGTAACAATGCATTGGCTGTGTATGAAAAAAAAACACATGGGTATAACTGTTGCCAAATGTGTCTTTTTATTCTCCAGAAAATGCTGACCTATGACCCTGCAAGAAGAATATCAGCAAAACGGGCCCTGACTCATCCCTACTTCCAGAATGAGAAAAGCCAATGATATTCTTCACTCTCAGACGCATTAGTATGTTGGGTTCGATCTCGACCCTGACGGGATCGAACTGATCAAACTTGGGTTCGTCCTAACCCTCACGCCTGTATATTCGGAGTTTGCATGTTCTCCCCGTGGTCAAGTGGATTTTTTCTCCGGATCCTCCGGTTTTTCCCTCCACATGAAGAATCAGCATCACGTATTTACAGTATTTGGTTGCTCTAAATTTCCACGTGATAAGCCACTTCGTTCAGCTATAATTTATGGTACAGGTCGCTTCTGAAAAAAAAAGAGCTATATAGCTCAGTGTGGGCCTTACCTAGTAAAATAAAAAAAATGGTTTAGTTTTAGTTAAATGTTGCACACCGATGCTGTTGTCCTCTTGGGTGCGTTCCCTCCTTTGGCTGCCACTCAGGAGTTATCCGGCCATCGTCCCTTGTACATATTATAGGCAGGAACAGTGGCCTGCCCAAGCCGGTTACGGTCAAAAAAAGTACGCGTTGGTTGCCGAGGTTTGCAGGCCAAGCTCCCCGGTCGCACTGTTTAACACTGCGGATGTATCGACCGTAAATACGCGCCGTCCACATGACGTTATTTAAAAGAGAATCGGCCGTGCCACATTTGAAAAAAAAATGCACTAATTTATTGTAATAACTCATTGCAACATCGCCCCCTTGTTGACAAACCACTTCCCACTTGCACACCGATGCTGAGTCCCTGGCATGAAACAGACAACTACCAGCTGAGAACTGGACGGATTGAGACGTGATACCCTGTGGCATCTAAGCAAGCGCCCCTAACACACTAACATCTGAATTCCTCACTGCGTTTCTTCTCCGATGATCGTGGCGTGCCGTGTCTCTTTGTTGGGGCTGCGACGTTGGTCCGAGTCGTGGCGCGCTCGTCGCAGAGGTTTTCAGGGTTCGAATCCAGCGGCCGCCCCGGTTATCACTGCGGTGCGTATTAACTATAAATAATCTCGCCGATCGCTTCACGGTGGGCGTTAAAAGATCCCGCGACGTCATTCTCAAGAGTAGGCCATTATATGCCGGCGTCATGGTGCCAACTTTACCAAATTTCAAACAAAAAATGTACTTGCGATTCACTGAAATGGAATGTACGTAACAATAATCGTCCCCCTACTGCAAACAAACTTAGCGGGACCCTCTTAAACAAGAATAGTGCGAAGCAAGCGTCATACAAACGTGTTCTTTGTGTAGCATGGGCAAACTGTATGCGTTTGTCCATGCTTCATTGTATTGTCGTGAGCTTTTGTTCCACCCTCTTAATCTGTGTCCGTGTTTCTGAATGAGGGAGGTCATCGCAGGTAAGGCGTAGTGATTGGAAACTGTATTTCGTCGCCACAAATCGGCAAAGCACAGCATTGGGATGGAGGCAGCGTGGTGAGTGAGACCTTCATCCAGCAGTGGATCGACCATGGCTGACGATGAAGATAGTGCCGTGTATATTACAGCCAAGAGAAGTTGGGGCCCCAATGTGGATTGCGTTTTGTGTAGGAACGACGGAAGAGCGGTGGTTGGGGTGGTTAGCTCATTAATCACTGCCGTCTCGGCGGCACGCGTCAGATGGCGGCCAATGGGAGGTTTGTGTATTGCAATGTTGTTAAAGCGCGCTCTGCACGCTGCTCACGATAGCATCGCGAGCGCTGTCTGTTACGAGGGAATTCCACAGTGAGCATTTACAACTGCGCGCGCGCGCGTGTGTGTGTGTGTGCATAAACAGACACGCGTTCAATGTATCAAAGTGTTTTAATAAAAGCAAACATTCACGCGTCGTTATAACGCATTGCGCGTGGCCTCAATCGGCGGCAAAGTGTGTTGCGCGTGCAATAGCAACGCGCAAACGCTTTTTTTTTTGTTGTTGCTTAATATCGAAGCCTATATAGTAACTTCCACAGGGCGAGTGACCACATGGACACGTGAAGACGATTAAGAGAAGTGTACAGATCGGCACGTGAGTCGTCGCAGAGCACGCCACGTGGTGATGACACGTGCCGGACAATCCACGATTCCGAGGCATTTGGGTTGGTGGATTATGTCCCGATTTGTGAACCCCCAACCCCACTGGGTTGGGAGGCGTCGGGCAGATGACGGTACACAAGAGGAGTTCGTGACAGCATCTGCGCCGAGTTTTTTTTAGCGTTATGCCCTCGTATGCGTGAGCGTTCTCCGAGTCGCTGTGGTCATCGTACAGGGCCTGTAGCGCGTTCGCCGATTGGTGCATAGGCGTGACGGTTCGAAACAGCCAGGCCACCCTGGTCATTACTGCAGGTGCAATCACCGTCAAGCGCGCGCCGTCTGCTGCACAGTGGACGTTGATGTTAAAGATCACGCGACGTCATGGTCTATCGTAGAACAATTACACATTTTGAATATTGTATACATAAATGGGACCTTTTTTTCCAGTATAAAAGTATAAAAAAATAAGAATAGGTTTTATCCTTTCTGGCAATAAAACAGTTAAGATGTTCATACCAAATGCATATATTATCAGAGCATGTTTGTTTGCATGTTTGTTTGCATGTTCACCATAAGTCTGTGTGGTTAATGCAGACTTGATTCCTTGCAAAAGGTTTATATTTGGAGTTTGGACATCTTAACTCCTAGCCCGCCCCCCCCCCCCACAAAAAAAACAACAACCCTGTATTATAGTTAATACCTCCTGTTTTATTGCCAGAAAGGGTAAAACTTATTCTTATTTTTCATATTGCATAAGCCATTTTGCATAAGCCATTTTTTTTAAATTCTGGAGATCGATCATCGACCGCCTCAATCATCGCCGTCCCTCGTGCTTAAACCTGGCAAGACCCGCCTGAAAACGGGTGACGAAACTGTGTGAGGCTTTCCTTGATACACAACCAAAGTCATAATAACAACATCATCATCATCAGGGCTATTGGCTAAAACATCCGCAATGCAGGATCCTCCTCTTCCAAAATAGCCTTGAGACTCGCTGAGGATTTGCTGTGCACATTTCGCAAAGCGTTACCATCACGTAGAGCCTCTTCCCGCCCTCATGAGAAATGCAAAGACAAAGAACCCCCGGTTAGCCTTAACAGACTGTCCGTGGCAAGTGCTGTCAGTGAGTAGCACCTATGAAGGCCGGCACGGCACATAAGGAGGTGGATGGCCAGCATCACGCCCGGACGCCTTTGTCTCCCTAGTGGCGATGTTTACACACCGCACCAGAGACTCATTTGAAATTGAGTCGACCCAGTGGAGGCCCAGATCCGGTTCAGATAATAATCGCCACTGGTGTTGGCCATGAGCGGCAATCGAACTCAGAGGTCGCCGGGTTCTTAGTGCAGCGTGCTAACCGATACACTACCGCTCCCCACTACCACTTGAGAAAGCCGACACTTCACACACACACACATCCCACGCAGGCTATTTAACTCTGGGACGCGAACGAGGGTGTTTACTTATAATTTGGGATAGAAACAAATAGCATTAAGTGGCTAATTGGGCTGTAACGGACTCAACGGCTAAGCTGGAATTAGACCGCCAACCCCATCCAACCAGGGTGGCAAAACCTCACACTGCGCTAATGAAGCAAACACTGTCAAACGAGAACCCCTAAATTTGAGGCGATGTTTTCCTTCCACCAAATCCCACCATTTCGCCGCGTCCCTCCAAAAGCGTTTAAGTCTTTAAGCGTCCGAGCAAAGGTGGTGGCTTTCACGCCCTCGGCTGCGGTGCGGTGTCGCTCGGATGACTCGCTCGGCGAGGGAGGACCACGGTCTCATTGGTGCGCGCATTGGCCCGATTCGACCTCCGCGAGCATCGTGGGTGAAATGAAACATCAATAGAACTTCGGTTCGTGTCTTCACATTTAAAAGAGAAATTCGTTTTAGTCCAGCGGCATCATTGGCGTTCCAGACCGTTACCAATAATGGCCCGCGGTGACCCGTCCACTTGTACGCGGAATTGCGTTGAACGAGGTCCCATAGTTTAGACGTAGTCCTCATGCCCATCAAATCTCCCAAATCAGCAGCGAGTGTGCTATAAGCCTGACCCTGCTCATAGGAAAAGAAGAATCTAACAGCTCAGTGGGCTTTACCTTGGTAAGATAAAAAAAAAATGTTTACTTGTGTTTGTGTATTTTTTAAAGTGATTTGTTTATCTTTCTTATACTTTGAACTCCTATCGTGTTTTTTTAATTGTTTGGTGTTATAACGTTCTGACCTGCCCCCTACTGGACATCTTTGGAAAACAGCTTTGTAGCTCATCGGATTCCTCCAGTATAAATAAATATTCTGAATCTGACGACCCGGATAACCGAAAGCAGCCATGAATACGCATGCTGAAACAAATTCTGCTTCAAAATATTGGTCTGCGAAGTCAAGAGGCCGTTGATAGGCTACAACGATGATGTGTTAATATATTAAGGGTTGCTTGCGCAGTGGTACAGCAGTTTACCTCCAATCGGCGGCGGACAGGGCAGATGCGTGCAACGCGTTGCGTGTACGGAAGGAGCAAGCAAGGATACCAATGGTTTGCGTAGAATGGTGCTCGTAAGAATATTATTAGCGAGGCATAATCGCACACGAAAGGCAAGTGGTAGGCCAATGTTACATACGGGTTGATGTAGCGAACGAGACAGTACAAACCGGACCAAACAATAAAAAGGACACAGAGACGACAACAAAATAACGACCTTGCATTGAGCGGAAACTCTTATCCAGTTGTTCATAACCTTTGATCCGCGAGGCTACTACTACAGGGGATCCGCGGAGAAGAAACGTAACGTCTTCATCAAACAAAATATACAATTTCAAACAGCTAGTAGGCGTGTGATGATCGACGAGGAGTTTGGATGTTGAAAGGGGCTCCCGTGAAACTCGGACCGATTGCGAACGGCGACCCTAATCCGTTGCAGTGGAGCGGTGGCTTAGCGGTTGGGAGCACCGCGCAACTAAAAACCGGCCTACCAAAGTTCGATTCCCGGCCACGGCTAACAGCATGGTGATGTATATGTGAACCGGCCTTGGTGAACCCTCCACCTACCCGCACTCACCCCATTGTGGTGAAGTATGGTCAAACAATTCGCAAGCAGACTGCGCCTTGAATACGGAACATTCAAGCGGCGGATTGAACGATTAACTTTCAGCCCAGACCCTTGATGCGAGCACTCCACATACGTTTGAAAAAAAAAAACCACAGTGTCCATGCCTCTGTTCTCGAAGTCTGTGGTCTGGGAACACGACATCAAACGTGGGAATCACTCCAACACTCCATCGAATGCTTCAAAGTATGCCCAAGTTTGATCTGCCCTTAACTTGCCCTTTAATCCAACCTTCGCCACAGATCGATGTGTATGCACCAGATGCAGAGCGACGGCGCTGGGATGCTTACTTGAGCGCACTAGACGGGATTACGTCACGCCGAGGTATATCGGCTGTGGAAGGAGAGTGAGACACGCCAGGGGTTCTAGGATGAGCGAGCGTGGGGTGAGAGTGCGAGAGGGGGGGGGAGGGGGTGCGAGATGAGGTCGCGAAGAGGTGGGGGCGGGGGGAATGAGATAAGGGGGCAGGGTGAAGATCGGAGAGATGGCGAGAGGCTAACTCAATTCCTCGAGATTTAATTACATCCTCGGAATAAATAAAGAGACAAGCAACGTTCATGTGGACAGAATCGTATGGAGGGACGTCGAGCGATGATTCCCGGTTCAGAGGTCACTGGCCACTGCGCTCCCTGGCCGGGAATCGCCGGCTTGAATGAGCAGAGCGTGCGAATCGTGGCACCACCGCTCCTCCAACTCGACGTGCTGCACTCGCACGGCGGAATCTTTCGTCAAACATACGCGAACGTGTGTCCACGTGCATGCCAGTCTGCACTCTGCCCACAATTACACGAGGCAATTTGTCGACATCGCCGTGCGGTTCCGACGGACGCGTACTCGAGAGAGAAAATGCGGCGCGGGGGCACAATTTCCACGCGTCCCGTCGAGGGTTCGGCGGACGGCGTTAAGAGGGCCACGGAGCGCACCAGGGCCTGGCGTCGTGTGCCACGCGGACTTGTCACGATGTCACGCATGCCATGTTTTGCTGCAGGTTCTATGCCGAGCGTTTCATACTCATCGGTATATATCGGGCGTCTTGTTTACGCCTCGGCTGATCGCGTGGCAGATGTTTACGTGTGGCGACGCTGACGTAACACCGATCATGATCGTCCTGGCAGAAATATATTTACTCACGACTCAACGGAGCAAAACGATTCGCTGAACAACGCAGCCATCGCGAGGATCTGACCCCCACGCACGTCGGAGCTCTTCTGACCCTACATCTCCTCACGTCCAGCTACACATTCGGGTCTGCATCGATACAATAGCGACATCCTGCCCATCGCCTCCCGCTGGAGAAAAAAAAAATCTCGCATCCTCCGTAACGGAACCAGCGTTCACAACCCGTGTACAATGAATGCCCCCGTCTCGCTGACCCGAATACACAGACAGGATTGCGGGCGGCGAGAAGATTAAAGGGATGGCTCATGTTTATGCATGAGATGGCGTGGTACTCACTATATATATTTAGGGCTCGCCAGCTGCAGCGCTATTAGGTAACAACACGCTCGGCATACTAGCCCCCCCCCCCCCCCACACAGAATGGTTCCTCATGATCAATCCATACATATCGTATCGCTCGCAATACTGCTGTGGTGCTGCATCGCCGCCCCATCGGATGCCGGTGAATTCGAGGGGTTAATGTCGGGGGTCCAAATGGGGCTGCTCGCTAACCCGAGCGTGAGGCTGAAGGCAATGCAAAACGTGGGGGGCACGGCGCCGAGACACGCGCACCCCCACAGCCCTCTGCGCCCCCCAGGATACATGCTAGAGCTCTACCGAAAGCTGCGGTCGGACAAGCGTCTCGGGGTGACACCTGCCGAGACGGCGCTGCCCAGGAATTCGGACACAATCCGCAGCATTCCTGCCAAGGGTAAGTGGCCGCACGGGCGACTCCAGAGCGCGCATCCACCGGAAAACAACGACCGAGGCTCAGCTGTCGGTGAAAGCACGTTTTGTGAAACTGCGTTGGCACGGCACCACCGCTCCTCGCATAGACACTTATAGATTGAGAAAGCAATTGGTAGAACGGTCGGTGAAGTCGCGGTGTGGTCCAGGGTTTGTGACTGGCGATCTCAGTCGCATTGGTGTAGGTGACGGTGTTCAATACCTACCGGGTTTTGCAGGGAGGTTATTATGTACTTGACAATGCCATATCCAGGACCTAGGAGGGCATGCAATTGCGGATGAGCTCATTTTGCCGGGTGATTTATTTCGAAACGTTTCTTGTAGTTGATAACAGATATTTGTTTTCTGAATCTATATTTCGGACAGTACTGGATTTTCATTCGTTTTAAGTTTACTTTTTCAAAGATCACTGCAAGCAGCGTCTTTCATCATCTTCAACTCGGGAGTTTTCCTTCATGAACTGCGTTTTAATGTCCGCACTCAAACGCCTAGCGGGATTAATTAAAATGATTTTTGTCTTGTATCGCCGGGAGCAAACCCACTTGCGCCATCTATTTATCTTACATGCTCTTAACTACTTAATGTCAGCACGCCGCGGGAAGGGGGTGTAGAGCCGAGGGGTATAGCATGTTACGGGAAAGGGAAAAGGAACGGGAAGACAAGAGAAAGAATGGGAAATGCGAGGTAAAGAGATGGAAGGAGAAACGGGTAGGGAGCGATGACGGTAGGGAGAGGCTTCAAGAAGCCACCGACGCTGCTAAACGGAGCAGCGTCTGTTTTCACAAGGGGATAAGATGGGGGGGGGGGGGGCATTCAGAGTGGCGGTGACCACACACGCATAAGGTGATTTACTGAGCATGGAGATGATTTAGGTTAGTGATTACGCAATCTTGTGGTAGGAGTGTTGCGTGGTGGGGTAAATTGTGGGTGCTTGCCACCTCTTCCACCTGGGTGGCAAAACCTCACACTGCGTGAACGAAACAAAGACTGACAGTACTCCCTCGAGAAGGGATTCGTTCGTATGGGCCCTTCCGTCAGCAGCGGCGTTATAGATTTATATTCTATTAGGAAGTAATTTCAGCCGCTGCACCTTCCACATGAACACTCTCGCCCACTTGAACACTCTCATCCACCTGAACAACTCTCATCCACCTGAACACTCTCACTGACCTGAACACTCTCATCCACCTGAACACTCTCGACCACTTGAACACTCTCGCGCACTTGAACACTCTCACCAACCTGAACACTCTCACTCACCTGAACACTCTCACTCACCTGAACACTCTCATCCACCTGAACACTCCTACTCACCTGAACACTATCGCTCACTTGAACACTCTCATCCACCTGAACACTCTCACCCATGCGAACACTCTCACGCACCTGAACACTCTCACTCACCTGAAAACTCTCGCTCACTTGAACACTCTCATCCACCTGAAAACACACTCATCCACCGGAACACTCTCACCCACCTGAACACTCTCACTCACCTGAACACTCTCACGCACCTGAACACTCTCATCCACATGAACACTCTCACCCATCTGAACACTCTCGCTCATCTGAATACTCTCACTCACCTGAAAACTCTCACTCACCTGAACACTTTCGCCCACTTGAACACTCTCATCCACATTAACACACTTGCTCATCTGAATACTCTCATCCACCTGAACACTCTCACCGCATGAACACTCTCGCTCATCTGAACACTCTCAGACACCTGAATACTCTCTCAAACCTGAACACTCTCACCTCATGAACACTCTCGCTCATCTGAACACTCTCGCTCACCTGAACACTCTCATCCACATGAACACTCTCACTCACATGAACACTCTCACTCACCTGAACACTCTCACCAACCTGAACACTCTCGCTCATCTGAACACTCTCACCAACCTGAACACTCTCGTCCACTTGAACACTCTCACCAACCTGAACACTCTCACCCACCTGAACACTCTCACACACCTGAACCCTCTCATCCACCTGAACACTCTTACTCACATGAACACTATCGCCCACTTGAACACTCTCATCGACCTGAACACTCTCACCCATGTGAACACTCTCACGCACCTGAACACTCTCACTCACCTGAAAACTCTCGCTCACTTGAACACTCTCATCCACATGAACACTCTCACCCACCTGAACACTCTCACCCACTTGAACACTCTCATCCACCTGAAAACTCTCACTCACCTGAACACTCTCACCCACCTGAACACTCTCACTCACCTGAACACTCTCACTCACCTGAGCACTCTCATTCACCTGAACACTCTCACTCACCTGAACACTCTCAGGCACCTGAACACTCTCATTCACATGAACACTCTCGCCCACATGAACACTCTCATCCACCTGAACACTCTCATCCACATGAACACTCTCACCCATCTGAACACTCTCGCTCATCTGAATACTCTCACTCACCTGAAAACTCTCACTCACCTGAACACTCTCGCCCACTTGAACACTCTCATTCACATGAACACACTTGCTCATCTGAATACTCACATCCACCTGAACACTCTCACTCACCTGAACACTCTCACTCACCTGAGCACTCTCATCCACCTGAACACTCTCACTTACCTGAACACTCTCACTCACCTGAGCACTCATGCACCTGAACACTCTCACTCACCTGAACACTCTCACGCACTTGAACACTCTCATTCACATGAACACTCTCGTCCACATGAACACTCTCATCCACCTGAACACTCTCATCCACATGAAAACTCTCACTCACCTGAACACTCTCGCCCACTTGAACACTCTCATCCACATGAACACACTTGCTCATCTGAATACTCTCATCCACCTGAACACTCTCACCGCATGAACACTCTCGCTCATCTGAACACTCTCAGCCACCTGAATACTCTCACTAACCTGAACACTCTCACCGCATGAACACTCTCGCTCATCTGAACACTCTCGCTCACCTGAACACTCTCATCCACATGAACACTCTCGCTCACATGAACACTCTCATCCACATGAACACTCTCACCCACCTGAACACACTTGCTCAACTGAACACTCTCACTAACCTGAACACTCTCGCTCACCTGAACACTCTCACTCACCTGAACACTCTCACCCACCTGAACACTCTCGCTCACCTGAACACTCTCACGAACCTGAACACACTCGCTCAACTGAACACTCTCACCAACCTGAGCACTCTCACCAACCTGAACGCGATGGGTCGCTTCCCTATAGCACGCGGGTGGCACCCCACACGGAGCGGCACGGCACGCGCTCTGGGGCGCGCGGCGTGGTTTTGATGTCCGGCCGGAACGCTCAGCACGGGAGCCTGCAGGTGTCATCCGCTCCCCCTGCACTCACGAACACAGCACCTCGGTGTGACCTCAGTCCCAGGTTGTCGACTCGACCCCCCTCCACCCACCCACACAACCCCCCCCCCCCATGTCGTCACCAACACTCTCAGCAAAAGGCTAAACTTGGACGTGCGTGTTTATTGCAGCATGATGCGTTCAAAGCGACGACACCCTTTGAACATAGCGCGAATGTGTGTAAAGCTGTAGGGATCTCTTACTTACCGACGGCTGCATATGACTATCGGACATGTGTGTGTGTGATGCACTCCGTACGATAACACGCGCACCTTCGCTTTATTGTACAATAAGTGAATGACGAAATCCAGCGTGCTCGCCGCTTTTCGCAACGAAGCCCTGTGGCTGATTTTCTTGCGTTTCACGCCGTCGGCCGTCGGGGCGCAGACGATGGCAGCGATGGATGAATATCGTCGTGTCGCACGCTGACGTTCTTTCACGCCGTGCCGCAGCCAACACGGGCAAGGCAGCAGCGCCATCCAATAGAGAATGGAAGGGGTTGTTGATACCTTGCCTTCGGTTTGGTGTCCGTCCGTCGCACACTCCGATGAGCGCGGTCGGCCACGTACGGTGCGAAAGACGTTTTGAACGGGGGGTAGTGGACACTCAATCGCGGGCCCTTTAGGTCGAAGCACATTGCGGTCAACATTCTTGCGGCTGCGATGGCAGGCTGGCGATATACGGCCCTTACCCCGCCCCCCCCCCGAAAAAAAAAACCACATCAACATTTAACTTAATATATAAAATAGTTTGAGATGAAAAATATCACATTTTAAATAACCAAAGCGAATGTTTTGAGCTACGCGTCGTATTTATCAGCATTGAATACAGCACTACAGTAACTCGGATAGGCGGACCTTGGCCCGGCTAGTAAGTTCGGCTAAACTAATGACAACCTCTGTCACAAAAGCCTTGTGCATACGTGCACACGTAGTCGATGTATCAGCGTGTGCGCGTTTCATCCGTGCAACCAACACGTGCTTACTGTAGCTAATGCTCTAGTCCGTGCCGTGCATTGTATCACAGTGCTGTGTTGTCCGTCGGTTCGGGACGTGGCCTTTCCTCATCTCTTCACCTGTCAGCTCCTCCATCCCAAAAGCCCTCTCCTCAGTACGATGGTGTTGTTGTGTTCACGATTGTGAAACTTATTTTTGTATGTAACCTGTGAAATTTTGATAGAACGAGTAAAACGGTGATAACTTTTAATAGTTTATGAAAATTGGTTTGTATTTAAGCTATCGCTTATTAATCATACACACGAGCTACGCAATGCAATTGTGAATGTACGTACTTTTTAAAAAAAGATTACTTTATTACTTTATTTAAATCTATTTATATCAATATTTATTAAATTGTTCACCAACACACCACCTCGACCACAGCAGCAGCAGTCAACACATCACTCTCTAACCATCGGTGCAGTCCTCTCCTGATCATCCTTCCATCATCAATCAGTGTTGCGTTTGTTGACCTCGCCCTGGCACCTCCGATTAGCATGGTCGGCAACGTACGGCACGAAAGAAGTTCAACGCACAGTGACTGTCGCCGCCGTTGTCTGTCTTCTGGCAGTCACCGTTCTAAAAGAGCTCCTTAGCTCATGGGTTTTTTTTAAAATTTAACTCGGATAATAATACACTTCTGAACATGTTATGCTCGTAACTTACAGCGCTGCGTCGATATAATCATTGCCAGAAATGAACCGCAATACGTCGCCGATCTCGTCAAGGGGGCATAAACCATCATCACGACAGCAGCTTTTGGCTCGGCCATCGAACAAAGTCGGTGGTCACCGCACCGCGCGGCGCTTTCAGACGACGCGCTCCTACGGCCGTCTGGAACGCTCTTGCTTCCGATGTTAGGAAGCCACTGGAGCTATGGTGCACTTTTAAATAATCTAGAACGAAAACGAACTTCTTTAGAATTGCCTTCATGTTCAACGTACACACATTTCAATTTGGAAAGCGCCTGCCCACACAGCAGTCGCTCGTTCCCGACGAGAGAGACAGAGAGAGAGAGATACTCTGGAGGAGCCAGGCGGGCAGGAAGCCACGCGGCGGTGAGTCGCCGCTAACCCAACGCAGAGTCACGCAATGAGCCAAGCTCGGAGGCGCGTTCGGACAATTGGGCGGTGGGAGGAGAGCGGAGCACCCGGAGGAAATCCCACGGCGCGCTAGTGAGCAACACCATCAAATACGGAATGTAAGGGACAAAGTTCAACATACATATACTGTAGTAGTCTAGTCGTTGGTTGTACTGGCTTCTCGTGGCAAGTCAAGGGCACGCGGCAAATGAGTTTCACGTTCGCGTGATCCACCAACCCTCGCCTCCACGGTGGTCGAGCGCAAGTGTTGCTCCACCACCGTCTGGCTAATCCACCGCTGGACGCAGGCCTCGCACGGGTCGTCAGTTTGTGGGCCGCTGTCGTGCCACGCTTCAGCCGCGTCAGCTGAACTCGCTCCGTGCGCCAAGGACGGGTTTCAGATCCAGTTAACACTCGCCTTTGATGTGAGCTGTGGCCGAGCACCACGACGTCGAGTGTCGCGGTGCGCTGAACAGCGCGCCACCGCTCGCATTTCATCCGCCGAACCCTCGCCATCTAAGATGCGAGGGTTCGGCGAGATGTGTGAGAGAGAGAGAGAGAGACGATCACGGCACTCTGGGTTTAAAGGCGATAGCGACACACAGCCAAAGTGGTGCGCAGGAGCCATCGGGCCTCAAAGAGAGCTGTGAAATGCGTGTCATCAAAGAGGCAACGCGGCCGGCGTGCAAGCAGCAAATCATTCGTTAACCTCAGTTGCCTTAAATCAGAACGCATATTTATAATAAGCGACGTGTCGGGCAATGATCCTTCATCATAGCACATGCTTGATACCAATGGAGCACCCTTCCAAACGCGTCCTCATGGCGAGCATTTCACACCTCCGATTTAGCGCGGCTGGCTACGTAGGGTGCAAAAGAAATTCTCCGTATACATCACACATAGCACGAGTGCTATTGCCGTAAAACATGTGCATACTGCAGGGGCCACTTGCCCGAAACGTCGCCTATTACATATTTTCTATCGAGGCCCACAAGCGTTACTGACGAAGGGGTTGAGCAAGTAGCCAGCCAGCAGTTTGAGTTTTTCGAAACACGGAGGAGCTGGTTCACTGCGCCCACTCGCAGGGAACGCGCCTGTGATGCCGACAGAGCACAAAGTACCCATCCACCCACTACCCACCTCCTCCCACACTACCCACCCACCCACTACCCACCTCCACCCACACTACCCACCCACTACCCACCTCCACCCACACTATCCACCCACTACCCACCTCCACCCACACTACCCACCCACTACCCACTTCCACCCACACTACCCACCCACTACCCACCTCCACCCACACTACCCACCCACTACCCACCTCCACCCACACTACCCACCCACCCACTACCCACCTCCTACCCACCCACTACCCACCTCCACCCACACTACCCACCCACTACCCACCTCCACCCACACTACCCACCCACTACCCACCTCCACCCACACTACCCACCCACTACCCACCTCCACCCACACTACCTACCCACTACCCACCTCCACCCACACTACCCATCCACTACCCACCTCCACTACCCATCCACCCCCCCCCATAGTAGGGGAATCGTGGCTGCTGGTGGTGGGGGGGGTCTAGAGATTAGGGCGGCTTCCAACGCCTGCGTCTAGCTCCGTTGCGCGGGGGAACCATCTCCGCCCGGGTCTTGACGCGTCGCGGTGATGTGTATTGGTGCGGGTTTGGTCTTTTTGTGTGCGCGCGCCGCGTCCGTGTGGGGTGTCCCGAGACGTTTTTTTTCCTCGCCATTGTCTCGGTCGGCGAGGGGGGTCGCGAAAATGCGCCGTCCAGTGATGACGTGCCGGCGACGTCTCCTTCCTGGGCAGCGGCTCCTTTCTCCTCCTCATTTTGTGTGTGCGCGCGCGCGTGTGTGTGCGTGCGTGCGTGGCTCCTCTCGCCGTGAATTCGCGAGATCCCTTTTGTGCTGCTGCTGCTGCGGCGGTGCGCCTCACGCCCCTGCACACCTAGGAGCTGTCACCTGGACGCGACTCGCCACCACCCCCCTCCCCCTTCCTTCCTTACACCGCCGCCACCCCCGTAACCTCACACACGCTCCGTGTCGTGCGTGCCTGGGAAGCAGCGATCTGACGGGTCCACGACGCACACACCCCGACGGGGTGCCCCCAGGCGGGGCAGCGCGCTTCCTTGAATATACATTTGCACGCAATCGTCGTCGTCGGACTTTGCTCTATCCACTGCTGGATGAAGGCTAGCGCGTGAGCTGACGTCACTGCTCCCGCTGGAGAAACCGTGCGCTGTGCTCTTGTCTTTCTCATGAACTTTGTGAAGAATTTATGCACGCGCGTTGCGATAGATTGCTAATGGGTCTGCCATTCAAAGTAATTATTTAATACAGTACAGGATTTATGGATGCATTATTGTGTTGGGAGTATAATAATACAATGTGATTTATCAAGGGTTGTGAAACAAACACGTATTCTTTATGCGGGGAGAAAATATGAAGGAGACAACGCCCCCTAATTTACGTTGGAAGTAATATTCTCCACAACGACGCTGATGATTACATTGCATAATCCAGGAGATATTTAGCAATGTATTTACCGTGCTGTGCTGAGTTGCGTCGTTGATATGGCGATGTCATCGCTCTCTCGCCAGCCCCATGGGCTGCTTGATCGTGACCCGGGGAACTTGTTGATGCATGTGCGTACGTCTCCTGTCCACTTGGCCCGTCGCCGGCCCCGCGTGTCTCCACCCCGGCCAGGACGACAGGAGACACCGCGCGGGTGGCGTCTCAACTTCGACCTCTCCTCCGTGCCGGGTGACGAGACACTCCAGTTCGCCGAGATCCGCTTTCGGCCGCCCCCGCGTGCGCAAGACGGGTCGACCGGGCGCGGGCCCGCCTGCTCGGTGGAGATCTACCACACCTCGCCGTCCGTGTTCGGCGAGGAGCCGGCGGATCAGCTCGTCGGCTCCTTCACCACCCCCAAGTTCCACTGCGGCGGCGGCGGCATGGCCGCCGCCGCCGCCGCCGCGTGGAGGATCGTCGATTTCACGGAGGACCTGAGGAAGTGGCTTCACCACCGGCACCTGACGGCCATCCTCAGAAGGTACCTGCTGCTCGCCGTCCCGGCCAGCCGCGATTGGGCGGGGGGGCACGCGAGGAACGGCGAGGGGCCGGGAGATACCGAGCGAATTTTTCTCACCGCCGATGGCCACAGGGGACTGGAAGCCGCCGGTGGTGGAGTTGACGCCGTCCGGAGCCCGCCACACCCGGCTAGAGCGCGCGACAACTTCACGGACGCCGGGGCGCGCCCGCACAGGAGGTGGATGTCGAGGCAGGGAGAGGAGCCAGCCACCATGGTGGTGTTCTCCCGGCTCGACGAGGCGGAGGGCGGCCGCGGCAGCGTCTCGCTGCTGCACCACACCGTGGGGCACGCGCCGCTCTTCTCGGACGAGTGGAGCGCGCCGGCTCGGGGCGCGAGTCCCCTCGCCGACGAGGCGCCATCGGGCAGCCGGAGGCACAAGCGCAACGGCCACGGAGGAGGGGCAGCAAACGCGGCGGTGCACGGGCGCAAGGACGGACTGCGGGGAGGGCACGGGGGCCAGCGGGGCAGAGGTACGCGTCGTGGGCGGTGGTGCGGACGCCCATGTGCGGCCTACCGACGGAGGTCGTTGTCCACGTGGGCTTGAAGGGGAGACAGGGACGAGTGTTGCTCTACCCGGCACAACGCGTCCACCAAACCGTTCGCCGTGGCTGATGGTCACGCGCCACCTACTCCGGTCTGTGTAGGGAAACCTTCATCCAGCGGTCGATGGACCGTGGAGGATGATGGTAACGAACACGTGTCATAGTCGAGGCTGATGGGTTGGGCAATGGGCCTTCAGAGTATGTTTTGTTTATTGCCCTTTTACGACTATAAAGGATGTTGAAAGAAATCACGCTTTAGTATACTGCTGCCCTTTTAGTCATTGGTCAGTGTGGCTCTGGAAAGCATTTCTATACAGTATATATATATTTTTAAAAATTGTATTTCAGAAACAGTTCTGTCAACTCTTCTGTGAACTCAGTGCTTGATTTTAGCTGGAGCTGAAATCAATCACAGGGCCATGACACAGCAAGGAATGTAGCAGTGTTGACACATTCCCTCTCTCCACCGCAGCGGTAGCAGGCGAGCCGTGGTGCCACCGGGTAGACTTCTACATGAGCTTTGAGCAGATCGGCTGGGATGCCTGGGTGATCCAGCCGAAGAGATTCAACGCTTACCGCTGCGAGGGCCCGTGTCCATCCCCTGTGGGTGAGCGCTTCCAGCCCACCAACCATGCGTACATGCAGGTGAGCCCATCACAGCCACCATTCCGCTCCTCCACGGTTGGCTACGTCCGGTGCTAAAGAAGTTCAATGTGCATACACGTACCATCGAGACTCACGCGGTGAGCCTCACTTGGGCCCGATCACAGCCATCGTTGTCATGAGTTGCAGGGGTGAAGCAGACATGGGGTTACATGTCGATTAACTAATGGTGCTCATTACCATAATATTTTATGCGAATAATTTTACGTGGAGGGACAGATATGAAGGAGGCACATTGTCTGATTATTTTGTAACAGACAGGAGAACTCCTCTCATCCGCAGTAATTTAGAGGACCATATTGCAGATGCTATAATCCCCGGGGTTGTCTGTGATTGTACTCCTATCTGTGGGTACAAAAATGGCAGATAACTGGATTGAGTATTCAAGATTTACCAGGCATGCTCTGGAAAGGCTTGCAGAGCCCCAATGTGATTTCAGAATGGGGTGGTCCTGCACCGACGCCATATTTTGGAAGGAGTTTTAACAGGAATTACATCTCAGCACTTACGTATCTGCTTTATGGACCTGGCCAAGGCCTATGATACCAAGAATAGGACTTTCATGCTCATGATCATTAAATACTTTCACGACGGTGGGCAGGTCGGTGTAAATTTGCGTGGCCGGGAGTTGAAGTAATTCCCTGTTCACTTTTTGTAACAAGGATGTCCTCTGGTTCCTGCATTATTTAACATATTTTTTGACGATGTAGTTCGAGAAGCTTCTCATGGCTGTACCAGATGAATTTTCATCTGGTACGGATACATGGGTGTTATGTATTCTAATAATCTGGTAATTGCTGCCCACTCTTAAGAAGGAGTTGGAGACTCAGCTGTTCAACCTTGAGAATGCCACTAAGAGGTGGCACCTTACCATCAGCCCCACCAAAACTAAGCACCTTTATGGGTATGTTCAGTCAACAAACACTCCACCCCCTCAACTCCCCATTGATGATGGGTCAATTGTGGAGAGAGTGGAGGAGCATAGGTCTCACTTCGACTCAGTTGAAGCTGCCTGGCTTGACACTCTATACGAAGATTCTGGACTTCTTGGCCACAAATATGCCCTCCTTTTTCTATGCTTGAAAACATTTGATGCGATCAAAGGAACATCTGCACAGGTTAAAAACATGCAGGCTAGCCTCCCTTGATTCATCCTGGGTTCAACCAGGCTAAATTTTGTGAGAGCTTCACAGAACCTTGAAAGACCTAGACACATCAACGAGCTCCTCCGGCAAGCGAGTCTACATTGGCATAGGTATGTAGCCCGCATATCGAGCCACCATGTACCCAGGCAGATTTTGTTTGGTTGGATAGAGGTGACTAAACGGATGCAACACGGGCTAGAGAGGATATGAGCGAATGTGTAACAAGAGGATGTTGAGCTGAGTAGATTTGTCAAAGACTGGTATCAGCGGTGTCAAGATCGGCCTCTGTGGAGGAGCCTCGTGAAGGACGCTACTGGGCAGTTGCAGCCAGTCGCCCTCCAACGACAACGGAGGGCAGAGGAGTGATACTCACAACAATGAACGGAGCACCAGGTGGCTAAAACGCAGCAAGTGGGCACAGGTGGTGCATCTGCCAATCATCTCAGTCAGTTAACACATCACACTGGAGTCTGTCCCGTGACCTGCTGTCAGTGAGCCTTCAACACTGCATGTGGCCTCAAAATGCACCTAGCCTGGCACATTCACCGTGGTAACGTCAACACCACTTAGTGGTGAATGGCGGCTGTTGTTTGTTGTTTGTGTTTATGAGAGCATGGGTGTATGGGCATGAGCAATGGTGGAATTATGCATGGTTCTGACTGCTTTACCTTCCGAGATACATTTATGCAATCCCCTTTCATAAATACTTTAGGGAATCAGAAATGGGACAATTTTTTTGCCTCCACAATTTATACAGTTATATAAGCCATTCGGTACTCCAGCCCGAGAAGCTTACATAATGTCTTGACTTATGTAGGTGTAATGTGCTATTTATATTCTTACTTATGGCAATATGTTCAGGAGCTAATTGGCAATGTCGAGGTCTAATAGCCACGAGAGGGCATCAGGAGGGGATTTGAGTAGTTTTGCTATTCCTATGTTTAAGGAGTGCAGACTCCAGTGGCTGACTAAACGGTCCATCGTTTGGGTTGCAAGGCTTGACATTCATTTTCCATTTAGGAAGGATATGTACACATCAGCCTGTTGATGTAATGATGCAGTTGACGGTTACGCCACGCGTGTCTTTGAGGAATGTCAATGCCAAGGAGGCATGATGTTTGGGTCTCAAACAAGGTGTTTACTCTGAACGTCTTCGTTGTTGCACTCTGTTTGCCAGCGTTCTTCCGGATCTGGGTGAGATTCTAGGATGGCGACATAATGATCCCGGAGGGGGGATCGGGACTTGAGTCGGCAGTGAGTTACACTGTTGAGTTCTTGTTTGATGGGTAGGTGGATGTCGTTGGCAAGAAAAAGTGTAAACTCCATTGCAGTTTGCATGTCTCTGCGGACATTTGGGTTGCAGCATATTCGTCAGAACAGCGAGGCAGGTGGTCGGTGTTGGTTTCAGTATTCCGGTTGCGATGCGCATCACGTTATTTAGTTGTGAATCAGTTTTTGTTATTTAGTTGTGAATCTGGCAGTTTTTGTGTACGAGCTCCTGGACCAGGCTGGGGCGCAGTGATTCTGCCACTGAGCAGATTAGCGAAAGGGCGGCAGTTCGCAGCACAACAGCTGAGTTGCCCAAGGTCGTTCATAGATCTTTATTATGTGGGGCATGAAGGTTAAGCTTCTGTCCATGACAAGCCCTACGGCACTTTCCTTGGGGTCGGATGGGAGTCACATGCTCCGCTTGGTTTACACGAAGCTGACTTGTAGGCCAGCATGCCTCGAGAAGCCTCCTCTTGCCTATGCGTGGGGGTTACCATCATTTACACTGATACCTTTGTTGCGAGAGTTGTGTTCTTGATTTGACACACGGTGAGAAACTGCTGACTTTTCAAAGTCCCCTCTTTATATATTGATTCTGTCCTCCAGTCGTCTCCCTGTTTCTCCAATGTAGCGACTTGCAATCTGTGCGATGTACGCCATCAACCACCCTGCTCCGCTCATCTCTATGGACTTTAGGTTTTACCCACATTAGGTCTGACCTAGGGGTGTTGACCGGCTGGTGGTGTGCTGCCTGTATGTGGTGTTTCTTCAGCAGGTGGGCTAGTTCCTCCACATTTAGAAGCATGCGTCTATATTATTTATAATAGTTTTTATGCTATAAATGTCAACATGATAAGCCAATTTGTTGTGCTATCAGTTGTGGCCAGGTCGCTTCTGAAAACGAAGTGAATAGCTCAGTGGGCTTTACCTGGTAAAATACAATAGTTTAATTTGAATATTTTTTAGTGATTTTCTTACCTTTCCTATACTTTGCAGTCCTATTGTGTTTGTATTGTTTGTTCTTGTAAAGTTCTGACCCGCCCCTACTAGACATCTGTGAAAAAGAGCTTTATAGAGCATCTGATTCCTCCAGTATGAATGAATATTCTGATTCTGACTCGCATTTAGAATATAGGGCAGTGGCAATGAAAGAGCTGAGGCAGGAACATAGTGTGGTTATTCTGCATGCAGACAAAGGACATGCAGCCATGATTCCGAAACAGAGAGGACAATGATTGCCAATCACTAAACTTCCTTTTGGACATGTAACACAAACACTCAACACATTCATCAATGACACTGTGGCCTTCAAAGGATATGTGTGATAGTTGGTGTTTTTTTGGGAATGGCCCTTCTTCATCACGTGCAAACAAAGGAGCGGCATTGCCAGAAACGTCCCTCTTATCTACTTTGCCTTTAAGGCCACGGTGTTATTTGACGAAATGTGTGGATTAACAAATATATATTGTTTGTGCACCGCTGAAAAGGCGGCAGCCGCAGCATCACCAGATAAAGCCAATTATTTGGTGATGTGGCGTTGACTTGAATATCATGTGAATAGAATGAAATGAATATTCGGATCAAAGCTGCTTTGAAGACATATTTGAGTTACCAGAACCTTAAAAAAACGGAGCATTTCAAAACATTTTTTAAGTATAATTTGATTTGAAAGTCTCTGATCCTAAACATTTCTTCAAAGCCTCTATGAGCCTATTGAAATCATAGGTTGAGGCCCTTGTGCCTTTCAGTCGATCTGAAAGATGCGAGGAGAGACGCAGAAACGTAGATTGAAAGACACACAGAGGCACAAAGACCCACGACACGGAGGCATACTTTTGGTACCAGTGGGCTTGGTCAGGACGCATCATGGCGAGTTGTGATGATGGGCGATACAAATAATTGAGTGGCAGCTACAGAATGGAACGCGCCCAAGAGAATATCCGGCGAGGAGATGAAGTCCTGAGATTTTTATTTAAAGCTTTTGTGACTGCAGTAATTCATATTCTTAGCTCTTTCGGTAAAGTCACGTTGAAGGGAAACAATAAAATAATAAAATATATATAAAACAATAAAAATTCTCACGACGTTTCGACCATAACACAAACGGTCGTCATCAGGTGTGTCGGTTTGCATTAATTTATTTATTTCCAAAACGGTGTATTTATCTATTTCTTTATTTATTTATAAAAACGCCAGCGCCACGCGCAGCGATTTGGCAGTTTATTTAGAAGGACGAGTCCATCTATGTTCTGAAAAGAGGAGGGGGGAGACGAAAAATTAATGTATGCTGTCTGAAAGCCACTGTAAGCGTGAACAATCAATTAAGACCTGAAATGGTTAATCAAATCTTTCCAATGATTGCTAAGCCAGAATCCATCTTCTCGGTTGAAATTGTCTCTATGCTTGTATATGTGGATAGCCTCATGAACGAATCTCTCATGGTAGCCAGATGGCTTACAAAGAACCTCTGTCTTGGAAAAGTCAATGTCATGTGAGCCTACTGAATTATAACAATGATCTGCCACGGCCG